GAGCACAGGATGCTCTCCACTGCACACCTGTAGAAGGAGGTGAGGACTGAGCTTCCCAGACCAGCTCGCCTCAGCCGTCTGAGGAAGTAGAGTCTCTGATGAGCTTTCTTGATCAGGCTGGTGGTGTAGGGGAGTTCATGTAAATAATGTCACCGAAGTCAACGGAGGGAAGGAAAGTCACAGTTACCAGGTGTTTCCTAGCATTCAGAGTTGGACAGGATCCATTTCTGAAAAAGAATCCCAGTTTAACTTTCAGTTTCTTTACCAAGTTTTCGACATGGGCCTTAAAAGAGAGATGCAAGTCGACCAAGATAGATACCCAAGTATATGTAGGAATCGACAAACTCAATAGGGGCACCATTCCAAGATAAAATAGAAGGAATGACTGCTGGGACCAACTTCCTGTTTGAAAACAACATCCCTTTGGTTTTGTCAGCATTTAGCACAAGCTTGAGATATATTTAAAATCTATGTTACAGACCTTCACATGTAGGAATCCAAAAGACAACACGCAATAATTTGACAGAACGTCTAGCAGTAAATCCACTGAGGAACTGTAAATAAGGTGCAAGGTTGATGCTCTTCAAGTGAAACCATGATGGAAGTGGAGAGACAACCCAAAGACAGAATGAAACAAACTTATAACAATGTCTGTAGTGCTCCACATTCAAGAGGAATTTTAGGTGGTGTTACAAAATGTAGATGATCTATCAGCATGTGTTTAATTATTTTGTGTGCCTTTTGTTTAGGTGATAGCGTTATCCAAACAGCAAGGTCTGCTTCACTCTCCTCGTTCAGAAGATGGCGGATCTGTTCGGTACAGAGCACTGACAGACCAAGACCCATCACCGCCCGCCTCTACCACTGGAGCAATGGGAGGAGGAGGTTGGTCCTTCTATGCACACTGTAGACCGTTCTCAGACTCGATGTAACAATCATGTTATGCAACATTTTTATGCATGATTTTTTTTCAACGGTTTATACTGAACTTTGACCTAGTTCTCCTTTTCAATAAGAAAATTAATTTATTTACACTCTTTCTTTAACTGAAATAATCTTTAATGGGTTTTGTTTCTTTCATTTTTTCATTTAGCCTTTATTTATACAGGTAGTCCCATTGAGCCACGAGAACTCATTTTCAAGAGAGTCCTGTTTAGGGAGCAGATGGGGATTAAGGGCCTTGCTCAAGGGCCCAGAGTGGGGCGAATGAGGGTGGGGGCAAGTGTGGGTGCTTCACCTACCCCACCCACATTTTTGATGTTGTCGGTACCGGGGCATGAACGGCGATCTTCCTATCACAGGCCCACCTTCGCTAACCTCTGCGCCACCCCTCCCCTGATCACCAATCTTTTTCAGTGTATCACCAGAGTGATCAGGCAATACAGATACAAATGAATCAATCTAAGAATTTTTTGTCTCTATAAGGAAATGTTTCATGAGCTTCAGGGTGCTTCTGTGAAAAGACAAACATTTAATATGTAAATCACTCTGTGTTCGAAGTGGGCTGGTGCTCAGTGTGAAGGTACAGTTTTTTTTTTAAATGTTCAGACAATTCAATTCCATTTAATTTACTGTATTTATATAACACTAGTTCACAATAAACGTCATCTCAACAAAACCATTGAACTACTTACAGTCATAAACATTATAAATGCATCATAAATACCAATTTATAAAATGTGTAAAATGTACATATCTCAGGAGGCCAGCAAATTGCATCAGTCTTTACTTTGTCACAATCTTCCATCTAGAGCGGCACATTGGTGACAACTTTCTTTTAACACGAAGAAACCTCCAGCAGAACCAGGCTCATTATCACCTGGCATTTGCTTCGATCAGTTGGGGTTTGAGAGGACAGGAAGGAGACACAAACAGACATGGAAGAATTGGTCCAGATCTAGTATCTATGTGAAAAATATAAAAACACTGGGTACTGACAGCACAATTTAGGAATACAAACAGAGAGTAGAATAAGTAAAGACAGCAACATAGTGAGAAAATGTGGTCAGTTTGTCCTCTAGTGTTTTAAGCCTATAGCAGTATAGCTCAGGAAACCCAACCCAACCCTAAATGTAGGATTCAGTAGAAAAGGAAGTCTTAAGCCTAGTCTTGGGGGTGGTGAAGTCTGTAGTGTGGAGCCACCACGGCCCCTACACCAGCTGCAGCCATTGAGTCCACTACGCCAGCTGCAGCCACTGAGTCAAGTCAAGTTAAGTCAAGTCAAATTTTTTTGTATAGCTCATTTAGAACAGGAACTGTTACCAAAGTGCAATAACAAAAGAAAAACATACATGGGGAGACTAAGCAGCAGTCACTTGAGCATTGCCACCTTTTTAGATAAGGAAAGTGACAACATGAGGAAGGGGAAAATCAGAAATGACCACAGCACAAAAATCAACATAAATGGACACAAGACATGTACATTTATGCATAGGGGACAACAAAAGTGGTGAGTAGTCCATGGACACTCCGAAAGTTCCAAAGTTCTGATAAGATGGTACAGTGTCTATCAGCATCACAATTCTGATAAGGCCACAGAAACCCTCAGGAGGAAGGGGGATAGGGAGAAGCTTCTAGTTTATGTATCCTTCAGGAGCAATTTGAGATAAGTTGGTCTATCCAAGGCCAGCAGGGAGGCCAAATTCAGGTAAACAACAATTGTTTTGGGCCACCAGACTCTTAATTTCTGTCTGCCTTCAAGATCTGCTGGTATGCTCACTACTGAATCCAAACTGCCAGATTTATGGACATTCTGCCTGGTCGGTGCTCAATTAGCTTTCTCCAAGATCGAATCCTTCAAGCCGGCGAGTTCCAGGAGCTGCAAGTGGCCTACGATTCTCAGAAACCACATCCAGCTTGCGGTTGAGCTTGTTAAGCATATGAATCTGAGAGCTCGAGGCACAAATGAATCCTTCACATAAGGCTGCAAGATTTACCATGGTCGAAACTGCTGCTGATGTCTTCCTAATTTGTCGATATCCTATGTATCCACTGATTCCAAAAAGCAGAAACCCTGTTATCATAAATCCAATAATGTACACATCTTCTATGTCCTCCATGGACAGAACAGATGGGCACATCATCTTCCACTACCCCCAGGAATCAATGACATACCCAGCTGTGTGGGTCCGTTCAGGGCATGAAGGCTCTCTAGCACTCTGTAGTCTGGTGGGGAAAAAAATGTATCAATTGCGTTGAGGGACCAGCTGACCAAATCCATAACAATTTTCAATTCAGAAGATATGTAAAGAGAGGCTCTGAGGTTGACAGGACAAAAGAACAAAAAAGCAAGAGGGAGGGAGAGAGGGTAAGAGTGACCATCTTTTTTGAGCGTGAAAGAGAGAATCAATGTCACGGAGACTGAAGTCTCCCCGACAGATGCACAGGGGTGGACACAAGGGCGGTGAGCAGCCAGAGACACCACACAGAGGCATTGCAGGATTCAGATAAAATCACTCAGATCAAATAATTCCCTCTGGAGAGATCTGTGCACACTCGGGGGGTGCTGATGATGACCAGAGACAAATCCAGAGTCCTGAAATGATGACAGCATGTTTATTCAGCTGGGCTCCTCTGAAAAGTCCATGGAATTCCTCAGTAGTAAGGGAGGGAGGGGCTGAGCATCAGGTTTACAAAACTTTCCAGGCGGGTTGAGATAAAATTTCCAAATACTATCAGTACATCCACTTTCCCAACAGAAGAACTAACACTCTCGCCAAGTGTTATAGTAACATCAAAAATGCTTTCATTGCTGTACCTAAGTCACATTTTGGGAAATGTGACTACTGTACTATTTTGTTTCAGCCCATCTACACTAAGCGGCTTAAAGCAGTGACAGTTAGAACTGTGAAAATATGGACTGAAGATGCAATGGCAGAACTGAGAGGCTGTCTTGGGGCTACAGACATGAACATCTTCAAAGAAGCTACTGAGAGCGTGCATGAGTATGCAGACACTGTGAGCAGTTATATCACATGGTGTATCTCTGTGTGCATTCCTACACAAACTATTCGTGTTTATCCCAACCAGAAGCCCTGGTTCAATGCAGATGTATGTCATAAAATCAAAAATCGATGTGCAGCCTTCAAGTCAGGCAATATGATGGAGTATAAGACTGTCATAATGCGGGGAACCCAGAGTGGTATGAGACCAGACAAGACAAGATCCAATAATAAAAAGGAAAAAGTGTTTATTATATACAGTGAACGTGGACGTGATCCAACAGAAAACCCCTGAGATGAGAGGCCAGGCAGGACAGGCGAAACAGGCTGGACAGGAACCAAGGAGACAGGATGACAGAATAGGTACAATGCTCCAGCGATTAGTCACACTGGACTGCAGCCTTAAATAGTAGAAGGACCTCATCAGGTGGATGGCCAGCAACTGGTGGCAATCAGTGGCCATCTTGGAGGCGGAGCTGCAGACAGTGGACTCTCACAGTATACCCCCCCCCAAGAATTGCCCCCAGGCGACCTGAGGCGCTTCTCGGGGTGAGCCCTGAAGAAGATGGTGATGAGGCTTGAATCTAAGATGAAAGATTGTGGGATACACAACCTCTATTCTGGTCCATAACCCTCCCAGTCGATTAGGTACTGGACCCCCCAACCTCGGCGTCGCATGTCTAGGACGGTCCTGACGCTGAAGGCCGGGTGGTTGTCAATCAACCAGGCGGGTGGAGGGAGGTCAGCCATACGGCACAAGGGACTTACTGAAACAGGTTTCACCTGGGAGACGTGGAAGGTAGGATGAATTTTCGTGGAGCTGGGAAGTTGAAGGCGTACAACAGAGGGGTTTATGATCTTAATGATGGGGAAAGGACAGATGAACTGGGGTACCATTTTCCTGGGTGTGTCCTTGAGGTGGATGTCTTTGGTGGAAAACCACACCTTCTGACTCACCTGATAAGCTGGAGCTGGGGCACAGTGACGATCAGCAAATCTTTTGTTTTGGGCTGCAGGCCATGTTAGTGCTGCCTTAGCCTGCCGCCAGACTCGTCGACATCAGTGAAAATGGTGTTTAACCGACGGAACAGAGATGTCGGTCTCACCAGGTGCTGGCTCCAGGCTGAGGGTTTTTTCTCAACGATGCAGGGAAGAGTGGTCTCCAGCTCTTGATTACAGTGCTCAGCCTGGCCATTGGATTGAGGGTGGTATCCTGATGTGAGACTGGAGGATGCCCCTAATGTCTTGCAGAAGGCTCGCCAGACCTGGGAAACAAACTGTGGACCACGGTCCGAGACCACGTCGGAGGGTATACCATGTATTCTGAACACATGCTGTATCAGCAATTGGGTGGTCTCAAATGCAGACAGGAGCTTAGGCAGGGGAACAAAATGGGCTGCTTTGGAGAATCTGTCAATAATGGTTAGTATCATGGTATTACCTTCACTGGGGAGTAGACCCGTGACAAAGTCCACCGAGATGTTCGACCAGGGACGACTAGGAGTGGGCAGAGTTTGTAGCAGTCCAGCAGGTGGCTGGTTACTAGTCTTATTACGTGCACAGGTGGAGCAAGCTGCTACAAACCCCTTTACATCCTCTGTGAGGGCAGGCCACCAGAAATGACTCTTTGTAAGGGAGAGCATGCGAGAAGTGCCAGAGTGACTGGAACATTTGTGGGTGTGTATCCAATTCAATACCTTGGCCCTCATAACAGAGGGGACGAAAAGGGTCCTGGGGGGTCCGGTACCGGGGTTGGGTTCATCTTTTTGAGCCTCTTGGACCTCCTTTTCAATGTCCCATGTAAGGGACCCCACCACACAAACTCGGGGAATGATGCTCTCTTCAGTCTCAGTGTTATCTGGTGAAGAAAACTGCCATGAGAGAGCATCAGGGTTTACATTCTTAGAACGGGGTCTGAAGGTTAGAGTGTAATTGAAGCAGTTA